CCTGATTTCATAGATATATGCCTTAATTATGTTGAAGTATATCCCTTCTTTTCCTATTTTCTTCATTGTTTTTATCAGGAACTGTTGTTGTTGTTGTTATGTGCCGTCGAGTCAAACCCAACTCATAGCGACCCCTCCTTGGGTTTCCAAGGCAGTATCACTACGGAAGTAGGGTTGCCCAACCTTCCTTCCAAGGAGTGGCTGGTGGGTTTGAACTGCCAGCTGTCTGGTTAGCAGGCAAGTGTCTTAGCCACTATACTACCAGAGCTCCCTTATCAGGAATAGGTATGGGATTTTGTAAAGTGTCACTCCTGGGAAGAAAGATTGGGCAATCTACTTCTGTAGTGATACCATCTCAGAAACCCCAGGAGGGGTTACTATCCAATTTCAACAGCAGTGAGTTTTGTTTTTTTGTTTTGGTATTACCCAGTAGTTTTTAAGGAGAGTATTATTCAGTTTCCATGTGTTTACTCTTTTTCCATGGATCTTCCTATTGTTGATTTCTAATTTTATAGCACTGTTGTCAGAGAAGATGTTTTGCAGTATTTCTGTATTTTTAAATTTGTTGAGGCTTGCTTGGTGGCCTAAAATATGATCTATTCTGGAGAATGCTCCATGTGTGCTGGAAAATGTATATTGTAGTGTTGTTGGTTGAAGTGTTCTATAGATGTCTATAAAATCAAGTTGTTTCATGTTTAGTTTTTCTTTGTCTTTGTTGGGTAATACATTAAAAACTTTTAATCAATAAAAATAATAGACTAAAGGAGAAAATATGTATAATTATATAATGAAATATGAGTTTAATACTTATTATTTGCCATTATTTGCAGATGAAATGATTGCTATTCAGCTACTCAAAAAGAATTAACTGAAAAACTATGAGATCTAATGTGAAAGTTTATGAAGGTGATTAGATACACTTTTTTTAAAAAAATGAATAAGCTAGGATAAAACAAACATCATTAACTTGATAAAGGGCCTAAGAAAAACCAAACTTACTACCATTGAGTCAATTCTGACTCATAGCAGCCCTGTAGGATAGAGTAAAACTGCCCCATAGAGTTTCCAAGGCTATAAATCTTCAGAGAAGCAGACAGTCACATCTTTCTCTCATGCAGTGGTTGGTTGGTTCCAACCACTGACCTTTCAGTTAACTTCTGTATGGTTTAATCACTGTGCCAGCAGAGCTCCTTTGATAAAGAGTAGAAACAAAGAAAAAACACCATATATAATTGTGAAACACTAGAGGTAAACCCATTAGATTCTGAAACAAAAGTAAGGGTGTTATATTTCAGTATCATCCTGGTGGCTGTAGTTAATGCCATAAATATGAAAAATATTATAAATATTGGTGTGGAAGAGATAAAATCACCATTATTCACAGATTAAATTAGTTTCTATTTAACTAACAAAGAAAATTAACTGAAAAAACCATTAGATTTACTATGAACATTTATCATGGTGACTGGATACAAAATCAACATAAAAAATGAATTTACTAGTTGCCAGTAATTAGTGAAAAGAAAATGTAATGGATGGCTTTGATGACTGATATTCAGTGCAGTTTATGTCTCCTCCCTTCTAATATCTCACGGAAATACAAAAATAAATGTAAAAATAAAATTCCATTGTACCAGTGAAAAATCAAGAGGGATACCATCAAAAGAGTATAAACAGTGAAGAATTACTAAAAAATATACAGCAGAGAGGAAGAGATTAACTGCAAAAAGAATTTGTTGTTGTTGTTAAGTGCCATCGAGTCGGACCCAACTCATAGCGACCCCTCCTTGGGTTGCTGAGGCAGTATCACTACGGAAGTAGATTGCCCAAACTTCCTTCTGAGGAGTGGCTGGTGGGTTTGAACTGCCAGCCTTCTGGTTAGCAGTCAAGTGCCTTAGGCATTAGGCTACCAGAGCTCCCGCAAAAAGAGTTTAAGAAATACTAAATTTATGTAGATGACAACTAGATATCCAGAATGAAAGAGATCACAAGATAATTAGAAAGAGTAGAATCTGAAAGAAGTGATGGAATAAAGGGAAGAACAACTGAGACAACATCCTACTCTTGGATCTATTAATTCCAGCATTTACTCCAGGATGAAGATTGTAGTAAGACTTGTGGTAGTGCATGGTCTAACACAGAGCTCCTTGAGTGAGCACTGGGGTAGGAAAAGCAGAGAAGCACCCCAGGCAATACACAACTCCCATTTGGTTGAGTACATCTCTGTACTTAAAAGGCAAGCTATACACAAGACTCCTCTTCTGTGTGATCATCCCAGGCAGAGTTCAAAATTGGAATCTACAAAACCACAATGTGTAATATAATGAAAAGGAAACTAATGACTAACCTCATTTATGAATATAGATGTAAAAATTTAAAATAATATATCAGCAAAGTGATAGAAATAGAATATTCAACAGTATTCAATATTTTTATTGTTAATAATATTCATACTTTTATTTGAAAAACATATGTATACACACACATACTTATATATAAAGCAAATAATTTTGTTAATGTAATAAGAATTTCAGGGTAAGAGAAATGAGACACAAATGTAAATTCAAAGAAACAAAATCCTTGTAGTCTTAACTTTGAATTGGAAATATCAGTGTGAATCGTGATTGTTTTTCTTTCTAAAAATTTGTATCTCCCAGCTCTGTCCACTAAAAAGGCATTGTAATCATGACAACCCAGAAGCAAAGACCACCCCCTAGTGCCCACATTGTGTTCTGTAAATATCGTTTCCCACTAAAGGAAACCAAGGCTCCTTGGAAAAGGGCTGATTCCAGATCTGAGGCAGGAAGTGTACAGAGATGGGTTAGAGACAACTTGTGCTAGAAAGCAAGAAGGAAGCTATCAGAGGCCAGCACATGGTATTAAAAAATGTAGGACCCAACTTGAAGCAGCTCCCACAGGACAAAGATGAAATAATTTAAGCATAAAAAAGATCAACAACAGCAAAGAATTAAAATAAATATAAAAATAATGAAAGGTTTTTTTTTTTTTAATTCCAGCTAATAATTGCAGAAGTATTGCTGTTTTTGTTGTTGTTAGGTGCCATTGAGTCATCTTCAACTCATAGAGACCCTATGCACAGCAGAATGAAACACTGCCCAGTCCTGAGCCAGTTCCACGATTCTTGCTATACTTGAGCCCATCGCCACCGCCACCGTGTCAGTCCATCTCGTTGTGGGCCTTCCCCACTTTCATCGAACCTCCACCTTACCAAGCATGACATCCTTCTCCAGGGAATGGTCCCTTCTGACAACATGACCAAAGTAGGTGAGTATTGCTAGACCTAGCATATTACCATTTTGCAAACCCTTATGAACTAAGGAATCTAAGTAATGATCATTAACAGCTGCTAAAATCATTAGGTGAAAAGCTGGTGGAGAACTTTCTAAACGATGGATTAAGCAGATAACATCGATCCCACCAATCAATCTTAACATCACCACATCACCAAAAGAGAGACAACCAGACATTGTGCTTCTCACGTTATAGGAAGTTTTCTTGTAAAAAATTTAAAAAATCGAACCTAAACATATTTCCAGACCTCACTATCAGTTAATTACCAGTTTAAAGAAAATACAGAGGATAGGAATATGGTTGATACCACTACGATGCAATAAGTGAGAAAGTGAGAAATTCTAAAGGATAAAGGACTCAATCTCTTTAACAAATAAATGCCATGGAAAAAAATAGGGAGGGGCAATGGATGAAGAATAAAAGAGGTTCAAGAGACATATTAATCACATACAATGCATGGACCTTGTTTGGATTTTCAGGTGATGAAACTAATTATTAAAAAACATTAAAAAACAATTTAGGAAAATTCTACATGGATTGTATATTAGCTTACCCTAAAGAATTATTGATTGTTCTTATGCTTTTAAAAAAAAAAGTCCTCTGCTGGAGATACATAGATAAAATGGCATCTTGGACTTACTGGCAAAAAATCATAATAATAATTAGGGGATAAATAAAACAAGATTTGCAAAATGCTGGCAATTGTTAAAATTGGATGATGGGTACATAGAGATTCATTATGCTGTCTTCTCAACTTTTGCTTATATTTGAAAACTTTCATAATAACAAATTTAAAAATACAAAGTCATGAGTACACATCAGTATTTCTGATTTAATGGCAACTTATCTAAGTCTTTTTAAATTTTGTTCCAATGTAAAATATTTTAGTCCTTTTCCTACCTTTTCCGAGCTACCAGCTTCTCTTCTCTGTCATTTACAATATCTCCTTACCTAATATTTTAATTCAATTTCCTAACTTTTCAGAAACATATTTGGATCTGTGCCTTCTTAGATCTTGGATCCCTAATTAGGGTGCAGTTAAACACACCTTTTCTTCTCAACTCCGGTGTCTTTCTGAAAACTCTTGTTTCTTTGATTATCATTCAATAGTCATCTGTTGACAAACAGGATCTTAATGGATGGGCAGACATTCAAAGTACAAAATTCAGTCCGTTCAACACATATTTATATTGAACCTTATGAATAGCAGTGAAACATGGTTTTTCACAGTGTAGGAAGCTAGAAGTCTGGCTTCAGGGCACCAGCTCCAGGGAATGGCTTTCTCTCTCTGCTCGCTGTAGGAGAAGGTCTTGTTATCAATCTTCTCCTGGGTCTGTTGTTGTTGTTGTTGTTTGCCGTCGAGTCACCCCCGACTCATAGTGACCCCTCCTTGGGTTTCCGAGGCAGTATCACTACGGAAGTAGGATTGCCCAACCTTCAGTGGCTGGTGGGTTTGAACCGCCAGCCTTCTGGTTAGCAGTCAAGTGCCTTAGGCACTATGCTACCAGAGCTCCCTGGGTCTAGGAATTTCTCATTGAAGGGACCTTGGGTCCAAAGGACATGCTCTGCTCCTGGCTTTTCTTTCTCAGTGATAAGAGATCCCTCTCTCTCTACTTGCTTCTCTCTCCTTTTATCTTTAGTAAGATAAAAGGTGATGTAGGCCACATCCCAAGGATCCCTTTACATACGATCAGGGCTGTGACATGATTAAGGGTGTTGCATCCCACCATAATCTTGACTGGCTTATCATAGCCGATCACATCATAGAAGATCATTATATAACTGCCAAATTACATCTTTAAATATTTGTAATGACTACTGGACTATTGAGAATCATGACCCAGCCAAGTTGATACATAGTTTTGGATGCCACAATTCAATCCATGATACTCCATGACTCAAGATGCCTCGCTGCTGCTTTTCTAATATTATAAACATTGCAAAACACAGAGCTTATAGGTTATAAGTGATATATTAAAGGCTATTTTGCTTTTCTTTTGTGATTTCCTTGAGTAACTTGCTTGTTTTACACTTTTACTAGAGTGTTTTACAAATATTACTTATGGACCAATGGGGTGACTTTTGAAGATGAAGTGGGGAGTGGAAGGGAATTCGAGGCCTAGGTGATTCTGATATAAACCAAAAAAACTCAAACTCACTGCCATCGAGCTGACTCTGACTCACAGCAACCCACATTGGGTTTCCAAGGCTGTCAGTCTTATGGAAGCAGACAGCCTCATCTTCCACGGAGCAGCTGGTGGGTTTGAACCATTAACCTTTTTGTTGGCAGTCCAATGCCTTAACCATTGCACTACCAGAGCTCCAATTCCAATGTAGTAATGAATAATCAGCTCATGAAAACAACAGTGGCGCCAGCAAAATTGAAGACACTTAAGTACATATTACATTAAAGGAGATTATTTTAAATGGCCTATGAATCTTTAAACAGAATAAAGGATTTGTTTTAAAACTCACATTCAGTAAAAATGGTTTAGGAAGCAAATTATTTGCTAGTAGAACTTACTGATCTAAAAAAAAAAAAACCTCACAGTTGGTGGGACTCTCATAATTTGTGTATGTAGAATGTAGAATTATAGAGCATTTGATTCTATAATGCTAGGATGAGATGTAGTATGAGATAATGAAAAGATTTCATTCTCAATGTTTGATAAATTGATTTAATTCATGACATGTCACATGATGTAGAAGAGATTTGGTGTAATAAACTAAAAGCGATAGCTTCTTTATCCAGATGGATTGAGAATCAACAGAATTCAACAACAAATGTCATGAGGTAGTAGTTGTAAGATGTATAAATTATAGTGAAATTCAAGAAAATCTTTGCCTCAAACAAGCAAAGGCCAATATATATTTAATGTTTTGTCTTCTTGTGTGGAAACAAATGGCACATCTTGGAGGAGCTGTGTTGCCATTTGTATTGATGGTGATCCCTGAGAGGTTACATCTCTCTTATTAAATATATATATATAATATATATATATAATCACAATGCACTGCTTTCTTCCCAGAGAGGTGCTGGTGCTAGAAATGTTTGGTGTTTGGAGGTGAAATAGAAAAAGTTCTGGATGATGCTGTAAAAATGGTTAACCTTACCAAACCAAGACCAATTCAGTTTGGTGTTTAAACATTGTTTAAAAAACGGTGTGGATAAAGACAACACCAATCTGCCACGTGCAAAAATCTTATGGCTTAGCAGATCATTTTTTCTGGGGGAAGCTGGTGCCATGTCATGAGAACACTCAAGCACTTCCTCTCTGTGAAGAGGTCCATGTGGTGAGAAAATGAGGTATCCTGCCAATAAGCAGCATCAGCTATCTAGGAATGTGAGTCACCTCAGAAATGGATTCTCCAGCCCCAGTCAAGTCTTCAGATGACTGTAGACCCAATCAACATCTTGACTGAAAGTAGAAGGCTAAAGTGGAAGACTGAAGGGGCCGCTCACTGAAAACTGCAGAACTTTAACAGACTAGCAGGCATGATTAAAGTAGACATTAATCATACTAACTTATTTTTCTCTCCTTTTGCTTTTTTTCAAGTAAAGAGAATAGCCAACTTCTTTATGGATGTTGAGTTCTTTAGGTTTGTTATTTTTAGCTATACATTTTTTTGAAGCATAACCCTCTCCCATGACTAGTTTCAGCTGAGAACCTATGAGGCCATATGACCCGAAGGGACACTGAGTCTGGAGTAACCAGGGAAGAGAAGGACAAAGGCATTCCTGGCAGTCCAAGGAATCTTCAATCCTCTTCCCATCTTCCTATATAATCACATTTATCCTTTTGCTCAAGGAGACAGACATTTTAGAGAAGTGATTCTCTCTGTCTCTTTGGGTATCCATACTCCATAAACCTTTTGCTTTCCCTCTCCAGCCAGTTGTGATCATTGAGTCTTTGTGTCAGGGACTAAGGACCTTGCTGTTCCTACAACAAAATCTCATGAAAACCTGAGCCAGACCCACCCAGCTAAGTTGTTCCTGAATTATATGACCCACAGAAATTGTGCAAGATAATAGATATTTATTATTTTAAGCCACTAAGTGTTGGGATGATTTGTTATACAGAAAGAAAAACTGATACTGATTTTAGTTCTCAACAGGATATTTGAACTGAAAGATGAATTGTAAGAATACTTTCAAGAAAATAGTAGGCCAGATTTTGTCAAGTGCTTTGGTGATGAAGGCTGTAGAAAGCAGCTTACTTAGTAGATATTTTTCTTCACATGAACTAGTTAAAGAAAGAAATATTTTGAACTCAAGAGATAAAATTCTTGCAATTAAATGGAAATTGAGTTTTTGGAAAACTCATATTGCAAGAGGAAATCTTGAAATGTTGCCACTGCTGCTTAGACTTGAAAGTGAGGAAGTCTCAAGTCTTACTGAAAACCACATGGAGGGACCATGTATAGGGTTAGCAGATGATGTTTCTGCATGTGTATTTGTATGTGCTGTAAAAATGTCAGGTGTATAGTAGAGCTGACAAAGGGCAAGGTTGTGGTGGCTTCTTGGCCACAGCCAGCTACCCTGAGGGAGGGAGTAGTTGGACCTGCGGGCTCAGAACCACAGTCACGGGACATCAAGCTCAACTGGCATAACATACTACATAAAAATATTGTTCTCCGTCCTACTTTGGTGAGTAGTGACTGGGGTCATAAAGCTTGCAAGCAGCCACCTAGATGTGACAATGGGTCTCCTCATCCAGAGCAGAGAAGAATGAAGAAAACCAAAAATGCATGGAAACAATTAGTGCGACAATTGTAGGCCATGCAATCCTCAGCTTATATGACCATGAGACCAGAAGAACTAGATGGTGCCCAGCTACCACTGTCAACCACTTGGAGAGGGTACTGATGCAGAAGATCTTGGATCCTGGATAGAGTGGGAGAGAACAAAGTGGAACAAAAATAAAAATCATAAAAAAGAAAGAAAGAGACCACGTTTGCTGGTTTTGATAGAGCCTGCTGAGATCCCTGAGACTATGGCCCCTAGTTACCTTTCAGGTCTGGAACTGAACTTAGTCTTATGGCTTCCAGCCAAACAACAGACAACCATATAGGATGAACATTTACATCAGGTAGATACACTCCTTGGAGTGATCAGTCTGCATTGTGGGAGAATGAAAGGGCAGTGTTTGCACAGGGAGACAGCTTGGGGAATGGGAGTGCATAGGAGGGACGGACACAGGGAAGAAGTAACTACAGGGAGGAAGTGGGATAAGAGCTGTTACACCGTGGGGAATTGCAGGCAATATCATGAAACAAAATGTGTATGAACTGCTGTGTGGAAAATGAATTTGCTCTGTAAACTCTCACCAAAAGCAAAATTAAAAAAAAAAAAAAAACATGGGGGGAATTAAAAAAAATACCAAACCAAACCTAGTGCTATTGAGTCGGATCAGACTCATAGCAACCCATCCTTGGGTTTCTGAGGCCGTATCCCTAAGTAAGTAGATTGGCCAACCTTCCTTCTGAGGAGTGGCTGGTGAGTTTGAACTGCCAGGCTTCTGTTTAGCAATCAAATGCCTTAGGCACTACACCACCAGAGCTCCCATGGGGGAGACCGGAGAACAAAATTAAACAGTATTTTCCTTCCTTTTTAACAGAAGTGGATGAGTACATGAGGGCTTCTTTCTCTGAATCTTCTTCTTACCCTGAGAATCTGTGAGAAGAGGAAGAATTAATTGTATAAACATAAGATAAAATGTACTGATCTGCACTTATACAAACAGAAAGCATTTCATATCAGTTAAAAATAAAATCTGTGTGTACCAATCTCGTTTGACTCAGAATGAGCATCACACAGCAGAAGTCAAGCAAAGACTTCACACTAAACAGATAAATTTCAGTCTTTTTAGTTTCAAAATAATACTACATGCATATATGTTGTTGTTGTTATGTGCCATCGAGTCGGACCCAACTCATAACGACCCCTTCTTGGGTTTCCAAGACAGTATCACTACGGAAGTAGATTGCCCAACCTTTCTATATATAGTCCTATAAAAAGAGATCAAGAACAAACACATGTGTATGATTCTGTAACTGTTAGGCCTATATTTAGGAGTCCTGGTGGCACAACTGTTAAGTGCTCAACTGCTGACCCAAAAGTTGGCTGTTCGAACCCACCCAGTGGCTCCACAGGAGAAAGACCTGTCAATCTGCTCCTGTGGAGAGTAGCCAGAAAACCCTAAGGGAGCGGTTCTACTCTGCTACCTGGGGTTGCTAGGAGTCAAAATCAATTCCATGTCACCTCACAACACCAACAGGCTATATTTGAGTCTGTTCAAGCCACTAAGAAAATGTATTTTCAAAGTCTTATATAAAATTGTGTACCAGGCTATAGTTTTACAATTGCTTTGGCTTGTGGTTTTAGTAGCTTTACTATTCCACAATGTCAATACACGTTCATGTTGGAAACAACGTTAATGAAGATCAGTTTGAAGCCTTTACTAAATTAGAAACACTGAGTCTACTGTAAAAAAAAAAAAAAAAAAAATTTAAATTGTGTTTTGGCCAAATCCAGTTATTTAACAGAAATTTATGATGTTTGCTATATAAATTTTTAATTTGTGTAAAGGAAAGAGATTAATCTCAAGAAAGGTAAGCTAAGCTTACTGTTGTTTTTTTTTTCTGTTCAAGAAAGTTTGGCTAAAATGTCATTTTTGGTTTTAAATAGAGGGAAGAACCTACTTCTGCACATATTATATATTGCATAGCATACCTCATTAGCAAATTGTTGTTGTTGTTATGTGCCGTCGAGTCA